TGGAATCAGCAACTTACCAGATGAATTACTTTGTCACATCTTGTCTTTCCTCACGACAAAAGAGGCCGCTTTAACGTCGGTTCTGTCCAAGAGATGGCGAGATTTGTTTACATTGATACCTAGTCTTGACCTTGATGACTCCATCTTCGTGCTTGGCGAAAGACCCGAAGAATGCGAACGGACTAGTTTCAAGGAGTTTGTGAACAGAATCCTTGCTCTTCAGTACAATTCTCCCATGAACAAATTCTCCATCAGATGTCATAAAGGTGTAGAAGATAAACTTGTTGAGGATTGGGTAGTGAAAGCTTTGGGACGTGGAGCAACAGACCTTTCCTTAGTATTGTTCTTCCCTTCGCGCTTAAACTCACCCAAACCCGCACGGCGCTCTGCTACTATCTTGTTTAATGGACTAAAAAACTTGATTAAGCTAAAACTAGGATGTGGGAGTGGGAGCCTTGGTCGCTTCTACCGCAGTCTATTTCGAAGAGACTTAATCTTTACAAAGCTTAAAACTCTGCATCTTGATTCTATCGACTTTGGTCGTAATTATGATTCCGGATTTGCTAAGCTTCTATCTAAATGCCCTGTGCTCGAGGAGTTGATCGTAAATTGTATAAGATGGCACTATTGGAAGTCTGCATCAGTGTCTTCTCCAACCCTCAAGAGACTAACTATTGATTGCGAACATTACCTTCCTAAAGATTATCCATCGGAGAATCCTGGCACAGTTTTCCAGTTCGGATGTGCCAACCCTCGAGATGTTTCTTTTGATACTCCAAACCTTCTCTACTTAGACTACTCAGAATTTGTTGCTCGCAACTATCCACTTGTCAAATTTGATTCCCTTGTTGAGGCTAGGCTCGATGTTGGATCAAGTAGATCTCAGATACGTGTAAGAGATTCAGACGAATTTGAAGTTCGTTGGGATGCCACAAATCTTATCATGGGGATGCATAATGTTCAAACCCTTCATTTAACTTCTGATACGCTTGAGGTTTTCTTTCTTCTTATGGTTAATTATCAATTACCTTTTTTGATAATTTAACAAGTTTTTAATTAGACAATGTGTTTCCACTTTTCAGGTGATTTCAGACTTTTGTAAGACCGTACCGGTGTTCCGCAACCTGAATCATTTATCTATCGAGAGTGGCGATGAACGAGGATGGCAAGCCTTGCCTCTCTTGCTGATCAACTGCTCCAATCTACAAATTCTCATCTTCTATGTAAGTTATGATCCCTCAAAACGTTTTTTCTTCCAATGATCCACTACACATTCTTAATTCGGTTTCTCTCTACTCTTTCATCAGGGTCTACACCACGGTGTTACAGATGGATGTGGGGATGCTTGTGATTGCATCCCTCCTTCTTCCTCGTCTTCGTCTTGTCTATCATCATGTCCTGTGAAGATCCTCAAGATATTTGACTTTGGTGCAACATGTGGAGAGATGTCCCTAGCCAAGCATTTCCTCAAGAACTTGGCTCACCTTGAAGAAGTGACCATCATATTACACTTGGATTCAGCCCAAGAAGAGGGTCTTGATCTTTCTGAAGTCTCCAATGCACTGGAGATGGCCCCAAGAGCTTCATGCAACTGCAAGTTGCAAGTCGTTAATAATTTCTAAAGTCAGTCAATTTTACAAAAAAAAAAAAAATTCAAATGATATTATATTAAAGAATTTAATTAAATCCATTTGTAAAAAAGATATATATTAGCTCGAAATTCTGATTTATACTTTTGGTTATTGCAATATAATAAATGTTAACATCATAATATACTATATATCTAAAAATAATACACATTATTAAATACAAACTTTAGAAAAAAAATATGATTATTCACAAGTT